TTTTCAATGATCTATTGAAAAAGAAAAAAAAATCTGGTTTCTGCTCATTTCTCTGCCAATAAAATGCTGTACTACATTCCCCAAACCTTTCAGTCAGCATTTATCAGTTTCCTAGTACATGCAATAGCAATACCACTTAGACTTGTATAGCGCTTTACAGTCCTAAGTGGTTTTACTGAGTCAGCCTATCGCTCCCAACAATCTAGGTCCTCGTTTTACCGACTTTGGAAGGATGGACAGCTGAGTCAACCTTGAGCCTGGTGAGATTTGAACTGCTAAATTGCAGGCAGACGGCTGGCACTCTAACCACTGCACCACCATGGCTCATTTAACAAACTGATTTGCTTCTGACTGGTGCCAGTAGACTGCATATACTTCCAAAATGGTAATATTATACTGGCTTGCAGTATAATCTCTAGATTAGAGATACAAGTTTGCTCAGAATAACTTGTGGCAAAACTGGAATTTAATTGTACTTGTAACACACTAATCAAATCATGACTAAAGTGAGCAATGTTGTCTTTACCATGTATAGGTAATGTTGTAAGTAGCACAGCTAAACCTTCTCTATCATTAAAAGTCATTCCTGTGAAAACTGACCTATATAATTATTTAATTTTAACAACTTGACTTGAATATGATTGACCAACTTTGACTTACAAAGCTTTCTGAATTGTCACTTGGGAAAGTATTGGATTTAGGCCTATGAGGCCCAAATTCATCAATTTCATTAAAATTTTAATTTATTGACTTCCATTAGCTTTTGCCTGAAAATTTATGCATGTGATTATCCTGCTCTTTCTCCAAGAACTAAATGGTACTTTTCACTCCAAAAATATATTACAGTTCCTTGAATATATTTTGCTGCCTTTTAAAAAACATTGCTGCAGCTACATTTTATACATTTAAATCTTTTTAAAATGCCGTAAACAGTAATGCATTTTATAAAATAAAATAAGAGCAGTAAAATATTGAGGTTAATTGACCTTACCTTATTTGGGGGTTCTTGGTGAAAATAGGTAATTTCACCCTCATCTGTTCCTAATAAAGCCAAAAGATGTTGAATCTTCTTTCTGTCATCTAATTCCCTGTGCATTGAAAATAAAGCAATTAATTTCTGTTCCTAAATGCTAATGTATTCTGCACTTTTTGTTGACTTCAAGGTTCACCTAAATCTCTGAAAAGCAACCCTTTTTATTTTACATACTCTAGAAGTTTTCTTTCTTGTAGAATCTAACCACTTAAGTCTTCACAAAAACTTTATGGCAAGCTAATGGTTGGAAACTCTTTTGTTTTAAATGTAACTTCTCCTCTGCTGAAGATTTTATTTCTCTAAATGTCTTCTATTTCAGAAAGAACAAATAGAAATTTGAGTAGCATCTTATTACTAAGAATGTGAACTTGAATCTTTAGCCACCAGGAGGCAATGTTAGCAAATCATTTTATAAAGTAGAGGCTGCTTAAAATCAGACTCTTAAATTATTTTGGGAAAAATACCTATGTGATGCTTTGGAAGAGGAAGTTCTATTTTAGTACTAAGACATACATGTAAGTAGAAATGTTCCAGCATAACTCCTGAGATCCGTATCAGTCCTGAAATGGTAATTCTGAAATTCCTATCATGGGATTGCAAAAACTAACATTTACAACAATGGAAGAAGTCCTCTGTGCTTGATTTGCAACAGTGTAAAGTTGATAAATATGAACTGTTCATATATGAATGAGGTTATTGGAGATTTTTTTTGTGTTCAAACACAAAGGCAAGAAAGAATTTGGAGAATCTGATACAATTTCTTGGAAATTATTTTTATGAAATGGATTCCCTGGCCTTTTTTTGGTTGGAAATTTTTGATTAATAGTCTATTAACTTGAACAAAAGAGATACTTCTCACTCAATTGGATGTATTATTCAACATTTCTATCCAATCCATAAAGACAAAGTTTTAGGTAAGAGAATAATAGTATATTTGGGATCCTACACTGATCCTATACTAGGCCGCAAACCTGATTTTCAGTCGATCGTTTTCAGCATAAAGGCGCAGCACATGCTCTCTTTCTTGAAAAAGGAACACCTGCATGTCACTCAAAGCCTTCTGCAGTTCTCCAATTTCTTCTTCTCGCTGACGCATTTCCCACTGTAACTTGTGCTGCAGTGAAAAAAATATTATCAATCCCCTGGCAGCTAAAACAAAAGTAGAGTACACGTTTTCTCAAAACCACATTCCATCTCACACCTAAGGCAACTTCTTGACAGAATGCTAGCATTTAGCATGTCAAGAAGATGCTTAATCAAGTTCTGCAAATTGTAACAAATGTTTTCTCCATGCTTACCATCTCTTCTGTACCCTGAGAATAGTCTTCTAGACTTCAAACGTCGATGGAAATTCAAGTAGCTTTTGAACAAACTGTCCAGGCCTCTCTTACCTCTATTACAATTACTTTGCTTCTAATGTTTGCCCTATTTTCTATTTACTTCCACTGTCTTTTCTCTTAGCATATTGCATCAAACTCTCAAACTATAAATTGGTTGGTTTATTCACTTATCTACATTCGGCTTCTTCAATATAAACCCTTGAGGAGGAAACTATGGAACAATTCTACTTAAGACCTAGCAGAACTATTGTGAGCCAGAATAATCGCTATAGCCGTGATGGCAAACCTATGGCACACCTGCCNCACAATCTTTTCACACAGAACCCGAAAAGTGGAGGGGGGGGGGGAGAGAAACGAGCTTTCGGCACCGGAAGTTCTTGTGGTAGAACGACTCCGCCGAAAGAAAGACTTGCGCGCGCATGCATACATACTCTTTCCCCCCCCTCCCCACTACTACTCCCACACCCATCCTCGCTCGCTCAGCGCCCTCGAGCTTCGTCGGATGAGGCGCTAAAGCGGACAACGCCGAGCGAGAGAAGCGCTTGAGACCCAGAGAGCGGTTAAAAAAAACAACAACAACAGAGCCGGGACTACATATATATGTATATGTCTTATATTTTAAAACAAGATCGGCGGAAGGATATGATTTAGTCGCTTCCGCGAGAAAGGGGATTTAACTGAGGCGCGTCACTTCCGCTGAGCCTCTCAAGAAGGGGAGGAAAAGGAAAAGGAGGAAAAAAAAACATACACGCAAAGCAGCACCAATCCTTGCGGGGGGGCGAACAAAAACAAACGTGAGGGGAGGAGAGGCCTGGACCGGCCTTGAGGGAGCCGCGGCCTCGCCTCGGAAGGACTCCGCTGCTCGTCGGCCGGGATCGCCTTTGCTCCTCGCTGGGTACCGGGATGTCCCTCCGCCCTCCGGTCCATCTTTGAGCGGTTTCGCCTTTTCTTTTCCTCTCCTCCGCTCCCCGCCAGCTGAGCTTCTCGCCCGGGGTCCTGAGGCGGCGGCGGCAGGGACGACGGCGCCGCCGCCATGTCGGGGGACGACGACGGCCTGGATGGGCCGCACTACGTGGCGGAATTCGTGCCTCCGCCCGAGTGCCCCGTCTTCGAGCCCAGCTGGGAGGAGTTCAGCAACCCCCTCGGCTTCATCTGCCGCATCCGACCCTTGGCGGAGAAAACGGGCATCTGCAAGATCAGGCCGCCTAAGGTACCCGCCGGGCCGCCGGGGAAGGGATGGAGAGGTCTCGGGGTGTCCGTCGTCTTCGCTCTTTTGAAGAAGTTGCTTCTCTTTTCTTCCCCCTCCTCAAAGGCCGCCCGCCGGCTCCCCCCTTTGATTCGGATGGGGTTGAGGGAAAGGTGGCGAAGGGAGCCCTTTGGTTTTCGGACTTTTTCCGAAAGGTCTTTGATCTTTTTTGCAGCAATGGCGTCTCTGTCACGATGGGCCGACGCCGAATTAGGGGAGGGAAAAACAACAACAACCCCTCTGTTCATTCATAAATAAACTTTGCTTAACAGCCCCGCTATATAATAAAGCCTCCTTTGAAACGTTTTTTGGGGAAAGCGAGAACGAAGTGGGAACCGTATAGATTCAACTAGGCAGGCGAAGAAGGGTAAATTCTGGCTCCCGGGGAAGGAGAAAGAGAGAGAGCTCCTAATGGTGTGTGTGTGTGT